CTGTTTTCTCCTTCACAGATACAGCCAGACCTGCTGAGCTTTTCCAGCAACTTTGTTTTTATCAAATATGATTTTCCTTTCACAATTTCAAATCAACTCTGTTCAACCTGACTATTATTCCCCCGCCCCTGTACCTAGTCATCCCAGCCTTGATAATACCTTCTAGAATTTTCTAGCTTCCAAACTTCAGGCTAACGAGTCAATGACAGTGCCCTGATGCTTTCTGTCCTTTCATAATTAGCGAGGTTGTATTGGCTACCTCCTGCTCTTTCCGTGGAAACCTTGCAACGTTAGTTAAGGCAAGATGTATGGATTATGAAAACGGGATTGAAGTCCTTGGACACACCAGAATAAAACACATGCTGTTTAAGGACGACATGAGTGCAACTGCCAGAAATGCTCCTAGTTCAAAATACCAAGATGGAGAATGAATTGGTGGAGAGATATTAACGTAGCAGTTAGGATCTGAAAATGAAGAGTCTGGTTGAGACAGGTTCAACTGAGGATTTTGAGAGAGAATTAGATTATTAAAACATAAGGACTAGGATCAGGAGTAGGCCGGCCATTCTGCCCCACCATTTAATACGATCATGGCTGATCTCATCTCGGCCTCAACTCCACTTTCCTGCCCACTCTCTATGACTCTTCAACCCGTTACTAATTAAAACTCTGTCTATCTCCTCAAATTTACACAGTATCCCAGCATCCTCCTGCACTCTGGGGTCAATTGCACACATTCATGGCCCTTTGAAAGAAGTAATTCCTCCTCATCTCTGTTTTAAATCTGCCCCCTCCCCTTATCCTGCATGATAACGTCTCCATCTGGATTGCCCACAAGGGGAAACATCCTCTCTACATCTACTTTGTCAACCCTCTTCGACATCTTCAATATCGAAAAAGGGCCAACGCGGAGGGTTATGGAGAACAGGTGAAAGAACGGCACTCTGAATTCCTCATTCGGATAGTCAATGCAGTCATGACGGGCCAAATGGTCTCGTTCTGTGCTATCACCTTTCTCTGTCTTGGTGAGCCCGTAGCAATTCATCAGTAAATTCACCTGCTGATGATAACAAAACATAGAACTGTTTTGCTTTATAAGCAGCATAGCCAAACACTGCATTCATGTTTTTCACACCTCACAATGTGTTTTCACAGAATTGGACAAGACATCCTGGTGGCCCTTCAGCCCATCATACCTGTTCTGACAGCTTTGGAAAGCTATTGGATTAGTCGTCCCACCGTCCAGCTTTTGCCTCATTGCCCACAAACTTTTTCCATCAAATATGTAACCAACTCCCCTTTTGAAAGTTCAAATTGACTCCATTCCCACCGCCCTATCAGGCAGCACTTTCCAGATCATTAAAGAAATAAATAAGTCTTGCTGCAATTACACAGGCCTGAGGTGGAACAGTGTATGCAGTTTTGGTTTCTGTATTCAAGGAAGAAGCTACCTCCATTGGAGACAGGGCAGCACTGTTATAACTAAGCTGGGCCTGGGATGAAAGGGTTACCCTATGTTAGAATAAAAAGAACGAGAGGTGATTTGATTAAATTACGGAAGATTTTGCTGGGGCTCGATAGAGTCCAATGGTTAAGGAATTCAGGATGGAGGGGCACAGTCACAGGAAAAAGGGACTGACCATTTAGGACAGAGACCAGGAGAAATTCCTTCAGGATCTGAATCTTTGGAATGCTCTCCTATCCAGTGGATGCCCCGATGTTGAATATAAAAAGATAAAATCACCACAGGCCTACCAGACCATAGAGAGACACAAACTGGTGGTGATTTAACCTCACCTCAAGCGAGGGGAGAGGCTGAGAAAGAGAATCCTTCGGGATGACCTCAGGAGGTTCGGGAATTGAATCCACACTGTTGGCGTCGGTCTGTATCACAAACCAACTGTCCAGCCAACCGAGCTAACCAACCATCTTATTGTTGAATTTTTTTTTTTTTTAAATTCATTCACTCACAAGATGAGGGTGTCACTGGCTCGGCCAGCATTTACTGACCATTCCAGTTAAGAGTCAACCACATTGCTGTGGGTCTGGAGTCACATGTAGGCCAGACCGGGGAAGGTTTTGATTGTCAGTTTGACATTGGTGAACCAGATGGGTCCTTCCTGGACAATTGACTATGGTTTCATTGTCATGTTAGACCCTTCGTTCCAGATTTTTATTCAATTCAAATTCCACCATCTGGTGTGATGGGATTCGAACCCAGGTCCCCAGAACGTTAACTAGGTCCTAGTTTTAACAGTTCAGCGATAATACCACGAGGCCATCGCCTCCCCATTTAAGGCTGGGACACTCAGATTTTTGTCTCTTCGGGAAATTGAAGGATATGGGGAGGTAGGAGTTTGGGGGGGTTGTGGTGTCGGAAATAGAGTTGAATCCCAAGATCATTTTGAATGACGGCGCAGGAAGGATGGGCTCGATGGCTCTTATCTCGTGTCTGTATAAGAAATCCTTTGTGGGGACATTCTCACCTCCTCCCTTTGCGTCTTTTGTCAATTTATCTACAATCCATTCCGTGTGGTGACTGACTGTCCTGCTGGCAAAAACCTTGTTTACTCCATCAGCAATCCCAGAATCTTACTCATCCACCACAACCCAGCAACATCAGACAAAAACACGGCTAATTATTAGGTCGCTAACCCAAAATGCTAACTAACTTGGAAAACTTAACTTTCATTAAGTACTTCCCCTGGTCATAAAGTGGGAAAGCTTAGAAAGAGGGGACAGAATGGTAAGGTTGAGTTCTAAAAAGAGCTCACGTGCCCTAAAACGCCAAGACCTTGAAGTGGTTTGTTGTGATAAACCCAGGATTGGAATGTCCAGGTTCCGCTTGGAAAGAAAGTCTTAGAGCTTTGGGATAAGAGACAGTTGAACAGAGATAGTTGAGAATGATGTGATGCAATGGAGGGATGCCCCTCCGGGGGTGGGGGGTACCTGGTTGGTGAAGCAACGTTTGCTCTAACATGAGACTGAGGATGGAGGAAGGGTTAGATTGGATAAGGATAAAAGACTGACAACGATATCCTGACATTGCGAGATGAAGTGGAGAAGGTTCAGACTGAGCCTGTTTCTTCACCGTGACATTCCACATAGCTGTGCCCAAAAGGCCAGAAACACTCACCGTACTATCCACCAGCTGGGAGTGATCTATCACTGACAGTAGCTGGACAGAACATGTACAGAACAGTCTGAGATGAGAGTTACCTGCACATACGCAACAGAATGCAGCAAGAACAAGGAGGTGAGAGGTATATATTACCATCAGGATAATACTGCTGGTTCATGCTCTCTGGGGTCCCCTGTCCATGATTGAACTGGTCATTGTAGTAATCCTCCTGCCCTGCGTATTGCTGGAGAGGACCTAGAACAAGATAGGGACAGTCTCGCATTAACTGCAGCCTTTTCTGTTTGGTACTTTTGTTTTAGGAAGAGAAATATACACAAAGATGTATTGAGCTGATTAAAAACACCCTCGGATTTCTGAACACGCAATTGGCAAACATTCAAGGAACAATTTCAGCAGAACATAGGTAGCAAACTCCCCAGGTCTCCATAACACACAGGAGCAGAAGTAGGCCATTCAGTCCATTGAGTCTGCTCCTACCATTCAAAAAGATCACAGCTAATTTGATGATCCCCAACTCCTCTTTCCAGCCTTTTCCCCACAGCCTTTGATTCCCCTCACTGATTAAAAATCTGTCTCTCAGCCTTGAATATACCCAACGACCCAGCCTCGACAGCCCCTCTGCGGTAAAGAATTCCAGATTCACTCCCCTCTGAGAGAAGAAATTCCTCCTCATCTCTGCCTTAAATGGGTGACCCCTTATTCCAAAATTATACTCTATGGTCCTAAAGTCTCCCACAAGGGACAGAAACCTTTCCACATCTATCCTGTCAAGACCCTGAAGAATCTTGTACGTTTCAATAATGTTCCCCCTCATTCTTCTAAACTCCAATGAGTACAGGCCCAACCTACTCAACCCCTCCTCATAAGACAGTCCCTCCATCACCAGGATCAGCTGAGTGAACCTTCTCTAGACTGCCTCCAATGTCAGTATATCTTTCCTTAGATACAGGGCCCAAAACTGTTTACAGTATTCCAGCTGTGGTCTGACTAGTGTATAGTTTTAGCAAAACCTCCTGAAACTTTTAAACTCCATTTCCTTTGAAATAAAGGCCAACATTTCAATTGCCTTCCCCACTACCCATTGAACTTGAACGCTAGCTTTTTGTAATTCATGGACAAGGACTAAGGAGATACACTTGCTGTAGAGGGAGTGCAGCAAAGGTTCACCAGGCTGATAGCAGGGATAACAGCACTGTCAGATGAGGAGAGTTTGGTTTGACTGGGCCTGTCTTCACTTGAGTTTAGAATGGTGAGAGGGGGATCTAATCGAAACGTATAAAATTCTAACGGGGCTGGACAGACTAGACACAGAAAGGATGCTTCCCCTGGGTGGGGGAGTCTAGACCCAGGGACACATTCTCAGGATATGGGGTAGACCATGTAGGACCGAGATGAGGAAACATTTCTTCACTAAAAGGGAAGTGAATCTGTGAAATTTTCTACCACAGGAGGCTGGGGAGGCCAAATCACTGAAGGAGATTGAAAGAATTTTAGGCTTAAAAGATATCAAGAGGCATGGGGAGATAGCGGGAATATGGTATTGAGATAGAGGATCGGCCATGATCATAATGAATGGTGGGGCAGGTTCGAAGGGCTGAATGGCCTACTCCTGCTCCTAATTTCTCTGTTTCTAATGATCCCTGGACTTCCAGAAAGTAGTGTCCTGACGTTCACACAGCGACAGATAAATCACTGACAGATACGATGCTGGTTGTGAGTAAAAGTTTACATTAGACCACCTGCCCATACGTGCAGGATTTGCGTTTGAATAAAAAGAAAATTTGCAAGCGAGTCATATTCTTACATAATCTTAATCTACACAGGCAATCTTTTTGTGCTAACATGTGAGGCTTGACATTTACTCTGATATCCATGCTGGTTTTGGTTTTAAGAATACGTAAATGAATACAGGTCATGAGATGTGGGTGTCACTGTCTGGGCCAGCATTCACTACCTGTCCCTAGTTACCCTTCTCAAACAACTGGCAGCACCGACAAACACTCGGAAAACCAAAACTGTTCATTCACACTGTTTGGAAGGACAGGGCAGGCAGTTTGAGAGTGAGGGAAGAGGTGGAAACGTTCAGAAGTATTTGCATACGGAAGGAACATGCTCCGGGAACACAGTGTGTCATTCAGCACACCGTAGTGACTGGTCCTGGCAAACGTAAGCAGAAACAGTACCACAGTTTCCATTATTTAAACTGCCCCACAAGGTGATGAAAAATGATTAAGACAGAGTGCAGGTGCTCAGCAGTGCCCCGAGTGAATTGGTTATTGAAGGAAATGCTTCCAAAACACTGTCCTTCATCAACAAGATTTCACACAAATTACAGTGACTGTACATCGACACTGGCACCACAAAATTGTTACAGGGCAGAAGAACACCTTTCATGCCTGCACCAGTAATTTGGTACCTACAAATGCAAATCTGATACCCGAGAGTTAACTACCTTCAGGGATATGAAAACCCACTGTGTACCATTAATTATTGAACAACACACACATCTACACGTAAATGTGTTGCAACTGACTGAGACCAATAAGAGACCCACCCCCCTCACCCAAGTTTCTGTTGTCATGTTTCGTGGTGCACCCACCTTGCTGAGCTGGTCTGTATGGTGGCATCTGTCTCTGCCCCATCATGTGGTTCGCCTGGTTCACTGGATTCATCATGGGCATGGGCGGCTGGTTGGGGTAATGTTGGCTCGCTCCCTGTGGCATATTGTACTGCGAGGTTGACGCTTGCTGGTGCATCATGGGGCCTGGAAGATACACAGCTATTGGTGAGAGTGTTCACCATGCCCTAGAATCTCAACGATATGGTCCCCACACCCAGCTAGCAACCCTGGCTCATAGCCAAAGCAACCATCCAATTACTCTGTCACTACCAGCACATTTTCATAGACTCGGGATTTGGTCCACACTGACCCTCTGAAGAGCAGTACACAGACCCACCCCTTTATCCTCTCTCTGTAACCCTGCATTTTCCATGGCTAACCCACCCAGCCTGCACATCCCTGAACACTACGGGCAATTTAGCATGGCCAACCCACCCTAACCTGCACATCTTTGGACTGTGGGAGGAAACCGGAGCACCCGGAGGAAACCCACGCAGACACGGGGAGAATGTACGAAATCCACTTGGACAGTTGCTCAAGGGTGGAATCGAACCGGGGTCCCTGGCGCTGTGAGGCAGCAGTGCTAACCCCTGTGCCATCCCATTATCTTGAACAAATCTGCAGCACGGAAACAGACCATTCGGCCCAATTAGCCCATGTTGGTATCTTTGCTCCATCCACTTCTCTTCAGCTCATCCTAATAACAGAGCCTTCAAACTCTTTCTCCCTTCTGCACTGGTCTAGATCCCTCACCAATATATCTATACGACTCCCTGAATTAGCCATTCCCACATGTGCCCTGCCTGCTGGTGTTTTTCTGAATTCTGAGGATTTATTTGTGATTTTCTCCCTTGTCATGTATTCATGAAATTTCTGTCTGAAAGTTACGATAAAATCAATTTCCACTGCAGGTGGTGCTTACCATATCATAGAATCATACAATGCAGAACAGGCCCTTCAGCCCATTGAGTATGTACTGCCAAAGCTACACTAAACCTACACTCATCCCACTTTCCCACACTAGGTCTATGGCCTTGAATATTATGACATTTCAAGTGTCCATTCAAGTACTTTTTAAAGGTTGTGAAGTTTCCTGTCCCAACTACACCCTCCCAGGCAGTGCATTCCACACTCCCACACCCTCTGAGTGAAAACATTTTCCTTAAATCCCCTCTAAACCTCCTGACTTTCACTTGAAAATTATGCCCCCTTCTTACTGACCACTAGACGTAGGGGAACCAGCACCTCTCAATCCACGGAGAGATAGTAAGAACTGCCGATGCTGGAGTCTGAGATAACAAGGTGTGGAGCTGGATGAACACAGCAGGCCAGACAGCATCAGAGGAGCAGGAAAGCTGACGTTTCAGGTCAGGACCCTTCTTCCTGTCCCTGTCCATGGCACTCACAATCTTAGATATCTCTATCAGGTCCCCCCCTCATTACTCAGAGATTTACTCCATCAAAATCCCCTCAAAAACCAGAGGCCCTGGCTCTAATATGCATTGCAAAAGAAAGGGATGGAGAATTCATTCTTTGAACACAATTATACTACCCAAAATGTCATGGTGGCGTGCTGAGATCCAGCTCAATGCTCTGGGAACACAGGTTCAAATCCCACAGCAGCAACAGGTGGAATTTAAACTCAGTTAAAATCTGGAATTGAAAGCTGATTTCAGGGATGGTCACCATGAAACTATCACTTTAGGGAAGGAAATCCTCCGTCCTTAACCAATCTGGCCTACACGTGACTGCAGACTCACCTCCACAGCAGGATTCAAACCCGGGTCCCCAGAACATTGCCTGGGTCTCTGGATTAACAGTCTAGCGATAATACCATCAGGCCATTGCCTCCCCTACCAGACTTGCTGATCATTTTCAGCACTTTCTGCTGCTTTATAATTATATACATCTCACCCTATGTCAACAGCACCAGAAGGGTCTCTCACACCCATTGAAGATGGCAAACGGGGTATTAATTTAACAGCCCCATCTGCACAGTAACACCATCCAGCACTGGAACATCACTGCAGTTCAAATACTAACCAACAGACAGAGGTTAGAGTGCTTACCAACTCCCTCTTCAGCTCACCTTCTGCAATCATCCTTGATTTCTCCATAGGCTATTTACACACTTTCCTATCTCAGTACTTTCCAACAAGTTCCCCTCCAAGCCACTCACCATCCTGACTTGGAAATATTTCACCATTCCTTCAGTATCACTGGGTCAAAATCCTGGAATTCCCTCCCTAAGGGCATTGTGGGTCTACCTACAGCACATGGACTGCAGCGGTTCAAGAAGGCAGCTCACCCCCACCTTCTCAAGGGGGCAACTGGGGAGTTTGCAGGTGGTGGAGCTCTCAATTGCCCTGGATTAATGTGAATAGACGCCCTCCCTACCTCTGTAACCTCAAGCCCCTCCAAAACATCTGCGCTTCTCCAGAGTGAGGTCTCTCGAACATCCCCGATTTATATCCCTCCACCACTGACAGAAATGTCTTCAGCAGATGCTTGGGCCTTAAGGTCTGGAATTGTCCCCCACAACATCTCCCCTCACTCTCTTTCCATTAAAAAATACACTTTTGAAACAAGCTTTCAATCACCTGTCACCTCACATGGCTGAGTGTTAAATTTTGCTTTATGACTTTGCTCTGGGATGTGTCAGCTGCATTAAAGGCGTCACATAAAAAGTGTTGTTGCAGCTCAGTGGGTGCCGAGCCCGAAGGTACCCACCTTGGCTCGGCTGCATGTTCATATTTGTTCGAGGGCCGTAGTTACTCATCGATTGACCTGGGTTCATATTCATCTGGCTCTGCACTGGCATTCCCTGTGAAGATGTCACCGAATGACTGTAGCCACCCATGGAACCGTGGCTACTGGTTGGCATGCTGACAGAGGCATTGGCCATACTGGGTTGGCCTGGTCCTTGCACTGGCATGTGGTTCGGGCCTGGCAAATTTGAAGAAACAGAACAGATATTACAGAAAACAGATTACATTATCCCCTACCCCGCCATCCTGCTCTTTACATAACACGCTCGCCCACAATTACGGCGAAATCCACGTAGACTTTGCGATCAGAGGAAAAAATTAATTAGCTTGCATTTATGTAGCATCTTTTGTCATCTACAGGCATCTTAAAGCGCTCGGGTGTCTGTTGGAACGTATGGAACACACTCAGCAAACTCCCCTTTTGACCAGCAATGTGAACAGCAGACCTGATGGGCTGAATGGGCTTCTGCTCGACATCTTATCAGCATATTGTGATGTTGACTTTATTTATTCATTTAGGAGCTGTGGGCAATGCCACTTGAGCCAACATTTATTGCCCATCCCTAATTGCCCAGGGGGTACAGAGTGAACACATTGCTATGCACCTGGAGTTACATGTAGGCCAGACCGGTAAGGGTGGCAGTATTTCCATCGGATGGGTTTTTACAACATTTGACACTGGCTGTACAGTAATTCCAGATTTTTCTTCATAACTGTAATCATGCCATGGTGGGATTCAAACCCATGCCCCCAGAACATTGACCCGGAGTTCTAGGTTCCTCGTCCACATTACCTCTACACCATCACCTCCCCTCGAGCATAATACCACTGGGCAATGGCTATTATCACTGGACTGTTAATCCAGAGACCCAGGTAACGTCCTGGGAACCTGGGTTCGAATCCCGCCACGGCTGATGGTGGAACTTGAATTCAATTAATGTCTGGAATTAAGAATCTAATGGTGACCATGAATTAATTGCCGATTGTCAGAAAAACCCCGTCTAGTTCACTAATGCCCTTTAGGGAGGGAAACTGCCATCCTTACCTGGTTTGGCCGACGTGACTCCAGACGCACAGCTATGTGTCTGACTCTCAACCGCCCTCTGGGCAATAAATGCTGCCTAGCCAGTGATGTCCTCATCTCATGAATGAATAAAGGAAGAAAAAGCAACACCCTAGAAGGGGTACAGAGGATGTTGCCTGGGATGGAATATTTCAGCAATGAAGAGAGGCTGGATAAGCTCGGGCTGTTTTCTTTGGAACAGGGAAGGTTGAGGAGGGACTTAATAGAGGCGTTTAAGATTATGAGGGGCATGACAAGGTGGGTCGAAAACTGTTGGTCCCCTTAGTTAAAAGGTCAAGAACAAGGGTATATCATTTAAGGTGAAAGGCAGGAGGTTTAAAAGGAATTTGAGGAAATATTTCTCACCCAGAGGGTGGTGGGGGTCTGCAATTCAACACCTAGGAGGGTAGTTGAGGCAGGAAACCTCACAACTTTTAATAAATACTTGGATAGACACTTGAAATGCCATAACATTCAAGGCTACGGGCCTAGTGAAAGGAAGTGGATCAGTGTAGATTTAGAGTCGTTTTCTTGCCAATACAGACTTGATGGGCTGAAGGGCCTCTTTTGTCCTTTATGATTCTGCGAAGCAGTGTCACACGACCTTTTACATCAGCCAAGCCTCGGTTTAACGTCTCAGCGGAAAGACAGATTCTCTGACAAAACTGCAGTCCAACAGTACTGCAATGCAGGGTCAGCCTTAAATTTTAGTGCTCAGGCCCAGGGGTGGGATTTGAACTCAGAACCTCACGATTCAGAGGCAAATGTGTAACCAATGAGCAACAGCTGACAGATCAGAGTAACAAGGTGGAGGGGTAACCTTAAAGATGAACCGCAACCCCTCATTCTCACTGATCTATTACAATATTAAGGTACACAAACATAAGCTGTGAGCTGAAACAGGAAAAGGGGGTCACAGCTTGAATGTTTTAATGAAGAGATACTAGCCTGTAAACTCCAATTACATGGACCAAGTACTGGAAAATGGGGTTCAGCTGGTGGCTCGTGATTTTAGCCGGCGCACGTATATTTCTATTTAAAATTCATTCACTGGGTCATACTGGTGATGTCCGCATTTGGTGTCCATCCCTTATTCCCTTGGAGCTGAATACCGTGCTGGGTCATTTCAGGAGTCAGTTAACAGGATCTAAGAGCTAGGAGCAGGAGTGGACCAGTTAGCCCCTCGAGCTTGCTCCACCATTTAACATAATCATGGCTGATCTCATCTCGGCCTCAAATCCACTTTCCTGCCTGCCCACACTCTCCATAACCCATTACTAATTTAAAAATCCATCCCCTTTTTAAATTTATTCCCTGTCCCTGCGCTCTGGGGAAGCAAATTCCACAGATTCACGACCCCTTGAGAGAAGTAATTTCTCCTCATCTGTTTTAAATTTGTCCCGCCTTATCCTAAAAGCTACAACCTGTTGTTCTAGACTGCCCCTTAGGAGGAAAAATCCTTTCTACATTTAAATTCCCAGCCTAAACCTCAGTGTCTGTCTGCCTCTTCCAGCCCCTCAACAGATCCTTTTAAAACCCTCTTCATTCTACTGCTCAAGGGCAATAACTGCTGGCTATTCTGGTGACACCATTGCCCATGATTGAATAACCAAAATTATGCAGACGCAAACATTTGTCTGAGTTGAAGTAAAGCTAGAGGTCTGTTAGTTTAATTGTCAAACCAGGTTCCAGAGCCCTCAAGTAGCAGCTTGCCCTCGGGTGTATTGAGAAGGAGCTTGGCCGAGCTGGCCGGTTAGGTGGACAGGTGGTAGGCCACAGGGTTAGCTCACCAGGTATTTGTCCGTTCATCTGGTTCTGCATGTGCGACGTAGGGGGCCCTCCTCCTCCACCACCGACCATACTGTCTGTGCCCATGCTGTGCCCGGGAGGGAGCTGGTTCATTCCCCCTGGTCCCATCGGCATGGACTGTGAGGGAGGCTGAAACACAACGGAGAACTGTAATCACAATGGAAAACAACGTGTTCTGTTCCACCTTAGTCCTCACCTCCACACCTCAGACTTGCCACCACATGAGAATTAGCTTTATTGTCACATGTACTCAAATGAGTACAGTGAAAAGGGTGCACAGGCCATCTTAGGTACAAAGGTCCCTAGATACAGCTTCTTCGGTTATAGTAGTTAGAAACGTAGCAAAGTGAAAAGTCCAGCATTGCAGGTTTTAGGAATAAACTATAAAACGGAGAGAAAAAAAGTTCAGATCAACAGTCTCCCAACTCTGTAGTCTTTCATGCATCGGACTGGGTATTGAGTACAAGAGTTGGCAGGTCATGTTACAGTTGTATAGGACTTTGGTTCAACCACATTTGGAATACTGCGTACAGTTCTGGTCACCACATTACCAAAAGGATGTGGATGCTTTGGAGAGGGTGCAAAGGAGGTTCACCAGGATGTTGCCTGGTAAGGAGGGCGCTAGCTATGAAAAGAGGTTGAGTAGATTAGGATTATTTACATTAGAAAGACAGAGGTTGAGGGGGACCTGATTGGGGTCTACAAAATCATGAGAGGTATAGATAGGGTGGATAGCAAGAAGTTTTTTCCCCCAGAGTGGGGGACTCAATTACTAAGGGTCACGATTTCAAGGTGAGAGGGAAAAGTTTAAGGGAGATATGCGTGGAAAGTTCTTTATGCAGAGGGTGGTGGGTGCCTGGAACACATTGTCAACGGAGGTGGGAGAGGCAGGCACGATAGCGTCATTTAAGATGTATCTAGACAGATACATGAATGGGCAGGGAGTAAGGGGATACAGATCCTTGGAAAATAGGCGGCAGGTTTAGATAGAGGATCTGGATTGGCGTAGGCTTAGAGGGCCGAAGGGCCTGTTCCTGTGCTGTAATTTTCTTTGTTCTTTGTTCTTTAACTCAGTTCATGGTGGTACCTAGCCTACAGGCTGTGCCTGACTTCACCTCAGGGTTCACAAGGCTGGAAGATTGCTTTGGAATCACCTCGAGGTACGAAGTCACCTTGACAATGTTTATCTTATCCAGGCAGCTGCTTACGATAAGTAACACTGACCCACGTGTCACAATCTCTTGTAGTACAGTGGCAGTGTCCCTACCTCCGAGCCAGGAGACTCAGGTTCAAGTTCCACCTGCTCCAAAGGTGTACGATAAACATCTCTGAGTGAGGTGATTAGGAAACATTAAAAATGGTTTATTCAGGGGGACGTGGAGGAGAGATTAGGGGAATAGTCCAGAAGAACATTAGACACAGGAGCTGCAGTAGGCCATTCAGCCCATTAAGACTGCTCAATACAATGATCAATTCCACTAGAGTCCTCAACTCCTCTTGCTGTGTGCTCCCACCAACCCCAGCATTTAACTTCCTTGTTGATCAAACTCCGTCTGTGTCGGTCTTGAAATTATTCAGTATCACAGCCTTTACTGTTTCCTGGGGAAGGGAGCTTCACAGAATAATGGCCCGCAAACAGAAATAAAATTCCTCAACTCATCTTCAGTGGGAGACCCTTCGTTTTATAACTGTGGCTGTATTTTCCCTCACAAGAGGAAACAATCTCTCAGCATCCACCCTGTTGCTTCCTCTCAGATTGCGAGAATGTTCCCTAGGTTCATTGTAGAGATGAGGGATCTGTCTTTTGAAGAGAGATAGTGTAGTTTAGGCCTGTACTCTCTGGAGTTTGGAAGAATGAGAAGAGATCTAATTGAGGTCTACAAAATGGTAAAGGGGATTGACACAGTAGATGTAGAGAGGATGTTTCCTCTTGTGGGGCAATGTAGAACAAATGGTCATTGTTTTAGGACAAGGGGGGGCAGATTTAAAACAGAGATGAGGAGGAATTACTTCTCTCAAAGGGTCATGAATCTGTGGAATTTACTCCCCCAGAGTGTAGCAGATGCCAGGACATTGAGTAAATGTTAAGAAGGAGATAGACAGATTTTTAATTAGTGACGGTTTGAAGGGTTATGGAGAGGGGGCAGGAAAGTAGAGTTAAGGCTGAGACTATTAGCTTGTATTGTATTATGCCATTATTGCATTAAATGGTGGAACAGGCTAGAGGGGCTAAATGGCCTGCTCCTGCTCCTACTTCTTATGTTCTCATGTTCAATAAGTTCACCTCTCATTCCTCTAAACTCCAGCAGATACAAGCCCAGGCTCAAGGTGCATTCTTGCTAAGAAGGTGCAGGAGAGACTTAGTTGAGTTTACGAAGACCAGAGGATTTCACTTATTAGGAAGAAGCCTCCTTGGTTGTGGGAGAAGGGGCTGCAGAGAGGAGACAGAGTCCAAAACAAGGGGGTGGAAGCTGAATATTCCAGCCAGTCCATTCAGGAGTGATAACAGGAAGCAATGCCCCACACAATGTGGGGAGGGGTGGGTCAGTGTTGGTGTGAAACAGGAATACACTTCCTGCTCATCCTGGTTCCCCCCAACAAAAATGATATTTGAAGCCACAAAATGAGGCCAATGGGATTGATTTAAACACCAAAGCTACAGATTCGCACCTGTGTTCATCACATTCAGAGTCGAAACCTTAACTCTGCTTTTCCCTCCACACATTTGCTGCATTTCTCCAGCACCTTGGGCTTGGTTCAATATCTCCAGCTGTGTTTTGGCTCTATGTCTCTCAGCATCTACCCTGTCAATCCACTTCAGAATTTCGACTCTTCTAATGAGATCACCTCTCATTCTTCTAAACTCCATGAAATACAATTTATATTAACACAATCACTCGGCACATAGACAACCTTCACTCATGGCAAGGACCAAATCAGTGAACATTCACCAAATTACAGAAAGCAATTAATAAACATGTAGAATGGGCAGAGAGTTGGCAAATTAATGTCACTGCGCAGAATTACAAATGTTTGAAGACAGAAATAATTAACTCCAAATTGCTGTTTCCACCGTTTCTGGTTTCTGAAAGGATTACAACATCGCCGAGTGATT